TTGAAGGAAGAGCTGTTATAGCTTATGAAGAAGTTGCAGCCTCTGATGAACACGTTTACATGACTTGTTAATCATAAACTAAAAATGAATGGATTCTTGTTTCTGGATGTACTTTCATATGACACCTTATAAAAAATACTTCATTGATTTTCTTGAAATAAATGGAGGGCAGGTACCATTGGGAAATGACTTCTCTTGCAAAATAAAAGGAATTGGTAAAACTGTTTTAGAACTAGAAAATGGGAATGTTTTGACTTTGAATAAGACTAGGTACATTCCTGATTTAAAAAGGAATTTAATCTCTTTAGGTACTCTGATGATGAGGTTTTAATACTACTATAAATAAATGTATTTTTACACTTTAAAAGAATTTTGCAAAATTCACTTATGTTGAAAAATCAAATGGGATTTATACTTTGAAAGCTTTACCTTTACATGACAAATCTCTTGCTGCAACAGTCTCAGTCTCCCAATCTAATAAATATAAACTTTAGCACAAAAGACTTGAACATATTAGTGATAAGAATTTGTACATTCTTAAAAAACAAGGTCTTTTGGGTAATGAAAGGATATAAATGATGTTATTTTGTGAACATTGCATTTATGGGAAACAAAAGAAATTGCCTTTGGCTACTGGCATTCATAAATCTAAATTCATTCTTGATTATTTGCATACTGATCTGTGGGGACCAGCTACCGTTTGCACTTATTCTTATTTTAAATACTTCTTGCTTATTATTGATGATTTTTCAAATAAAAGTTGGGTCATTCTTTTGAAAAACAAATCTGACACCTTCAAAAAATTTGCAGACTAGAAAACTCTTATTGAAAATCAAGTTAATAAAAGTGTTAAAGCACTTAGAACTGATAATAGTCTTGAATTTTGCAATGAAGAGTTTGATAACTTCTATAAAACTAATGAGATTCTTAGACATAGGACTGTAACATATGCTCCACAATAGAATGGGCTTGCAGAAAGGATGAATAGGACCTTGTTAGAAAAGGTTATATGCATGCTGATAAGTTTAGGCCTTCCAAAATTATTTTGGGGAGAATATATTAAAACTGCCTCTTTTCTTATAAATAAATGTCCTGCTAAAACCTTAAAAAAATATGATACACCTGATCATGTTTGGAATGGTTATTCTGTTGATTATTCTAAACTAAAAGTTTTTGGATGTACTGCCTATTTTCATCAAAATGAAGGGAAACTTGAGCTCAGATCTGTTAAGGGTATTTTCTTAGATTATGGTGAAGGTGTTAAAGGCTATAGGGTTTAGATGAAAGAATAGGGAGGTTATAAGGTTATACTAAGCAGTAATGTTATCTTTAATGAGTTGGATATGCCTTGCATTAAAGAAAAAGGAAAAACAACAACTGAAACTAATCAAAACAAAACTGCAATGGAATTTGAACTCTTTCAGATAGATTTAAAATCTGGAAATGATGATCAATTTGAGGTGGAGCTTGGTCAGGAACTAAATAATGAACCTGAACCTGAAATTGAGCTAGAACCTGTTACTGAACCTGAACTGGATCAACCTGAAAATCTTTTAAGAGATTATCATCTTACAAGGGATAGAGTACGAGGAGAAATAAGACCACCATCAAGATATAATGATTCTGATTTTGTTACAGCTTTGAAAGTTCAAAATTTTTTAGATAATGAGCCAAATTCATATGAAGAGGCCATTAATGGAAAGCATGGAAGTTTTTGGCTTGATACTATGAAAGATGAAATGCTTTCATTAATTAAAAATAAGACTAGGGTCTTAGTGAATAAACCAAAAGGGAAAATGGTTATTGATTGCAAATGGATCTATAAGATAAAAGAAGGTGATTCAAAAGGTGCAAATGTAAGGTTTAAGGCCAGATTAGTTGTTAAGGGCTTTAACCAAAGAGAAAGAATTGACTACAATGAAATTTTCTCTCATGTAGTCAAATACACATCTATAAGAATTTTGCTTTCTCTTGTTTCACAATTTGATTTTGAATTAGAGCAGTTAGATGTTAAAATTGTCTTCTTATATGGAAATTTGGATGAGAAAATTTATATGACTCAACCAAAAGGTTTTGAACAGAAAGGAAAAAAAACCTATGTGTGCCTTTTACAAAANCCCTAATTTGGGTGAACATCCGGGCCTACGGGTGAAAATCTCGTGTTATTTAATTTTTGTAATTACTTGGTGTTTTTGGGGCCTGTATAATACCAACATTATTCTTCCGTTTCCTTAAAAAGTTAAGTTAGTAAATTATGGATCTGATAAATTGTGTGGATTAAAAATATTTTGATTGTAATTTTGTCATGTTAAGTTGTGAGACTTAAATATTACCGCTACATGGGATCCTATGTGTATCGACCTTCATAGTAAAGTCGCAGTGAGGTGGCTTGGGGCTGTGGGGGTGGATCTCTGGAGCCAAAATTTTATTAAGGATATTATTGGAATTTTACACATGTAATTTTGATTTTACCCTAAATTTTCTTATAAGTAGGGAGTGATCATTAGATATATTTAATCATCATCAAGAAGTGAAAAAGATTAGAGAAAATAATGTGTGCAATTTTGTCTTATAAACATCTTTTTCAGTGAAAATTACTATAACGACGAATGATGATGTAGTTTCACATTAAAGCAAACCTCGATGCACACTTTTTAAATTCTCAAATGCCAAACATAACATGCACTTACTCTTCCCAACTTGATTCCTTCTATAAACACCTTTTTTATTTCAGAAGTTCTTCTCCCTATTTATTGGACGGCACTTTCTACCATCCATCAACTTTAAAACTTAAATAAAAGGTACCATTTTCTCGTGAAAATTTATGGAATGTATGCAAAAGAATAGAGCAGAAGGAAGTTAGCGTTAGGGTTGGAGATCGGGGGGTGCTCATATGGTCAATTTTTTGAAGTATTCATAATTACTCTCTCAACCTCTTTCTCATTCCACAGCTTTTCGCATTTATTATTGCCTTATCAAATGCCCCACGTGAACCCTAATCTATCTCCAAATTAATAGCAAAAGTCCAACCAAACCTCTCTCTTCAAATGGTGAATTTACTATGTTGCCACTTCTAGTTATGGTCATTATGTGTCACACGTATATATAGCTTTTATTTTAGAGAATGTGTAATTAAATAATAGAAAAATATTTATGAATCTATATATAAAATTATTTTGTTGAGAAAAAGTGTTGTTGAAAATGAATTTTAAATAATTTCTACCAAATGGGGACATGGTATTTAAATCGATAACGTACTGAGTCATCGAGTTACTAGGGGAACTGGTGGGTCAATGATCAAACATGTGGGTCTGAGTCGCCGGATTATCAATAGATCCATGTCGGGTTTATAACTATGATTCCACCTCCGCAATAGTATCGTTCTAGATTTGATTGTAAGGATTCATGATTTGTGATATTGAAATTATTATATAATAATGAGTTCAAATTTAACTTTAAGCAATTGGAAGTTTTTGCAAAGTATTTACTAAAGAATTTAAACATGTTTTTTTTTTTTTTTTATGAAAGGTGCAAAAATCTATTAACTTCCTATCATCCTTTACACTTATCAAAAGTCGAACATTTAACTTATTTCGTAAGATCATCTTTTCAATTTCCGTAACTCCGAATAAGTACCACCAAAATAGCTTCCATACAAAAATAAACATAATTCAAAACATACAACTTTCTTGAACTAATATGTGAGGTTATGCATTTCCAGCCTTGCAAGTGGCCAATCCATATGTTGACTCCAAGGGGATTACTCCAAGGGGCTGTTTGGTTCACAAATATAAGGTGTATGGGTTGAGGGATAAATTCAGATTATGAATATAATTGTTGTACTACAATTAACTTAGAATTTGTAAATATATTGTTGGGATAGAACCATGCTATTAGATCCCTTTTTGAGAACATGGACATAACACGGGGATGTCTTGCCCGATGCCAATGTCAAGATCAAACGTGTGCATGATGCACGAGACAATGAGCAGAATTGGTGTGACGGAAGCAAGGCAACGTGTTGACATTGTGATGCATAACTAACGAAAGCATGTGATACTTGATTTACTTAATGGCAACATAACATGGACGATGTCTTGCCCAATGCTAATGTCAAGATCGAAAGTGTGCATGATGCACAGGGTAATGTACATAATTGGTGTGATGGATGCAAGGCAACATGTGACATTGTGATGCGCAACTAGCGAAAGCATGTGATACATGATTTACTTGATGACAACATAACATGGATGAAATTTCAGTTTGAGGCATAGGTGTGTGCATGGACTCGGTAGTAAAGTAGAGCTTGATGTCCAATCGATTTCAGTCTTCAATTCAGTGGCAAAAACAAAAAAAAGGATAGTATTTGACGGTAGTTGATGGCGATTTTGCTAAGTACTTGAAAATGGGGTAATTTGGCCTGAGGAAACTACCGTAACAGTTGGGGGGTCAACTGTTTATACGAATTTGGGTTATGAATTTTAAGTGTTCAGACGACAATTGAGAGTATGTTGACCCTTCACAATTCTTGTACGTGGGATAGATTTCCACAATTCTATGTTCTGCCGTATTCCTTCAATATTTGTGTTATACTCAGTCAAATTCTGCTTGTTTTCGTTTAAGTGTAATTGCTTGAGAATTGATCGACTAAGATGGAAAATCTTAGTGTCATCATAGGCTATGGTTGAAATTCGAGACAATCGTGTGACACGTGCCTTAAAAGGTATAGTGAGTTCCAAAAAGACCTACTCTCCAAACTCTTATATACCAGATTGAAGCATGGTGATGGTGTTAAAGAAATATAAAGGTATATTTTATTTTTTAAATTACAAAAGAGAAGTGGTAAATGATCCTACGAGTTTCCAACTTTTGCCTTTTATTCTTGATCTGAATTCTCAACTCTCCACTTGCCTACTTGGCCCATCACTCAACAAACGAACCACATAAAATATAACAAAACCACCCTACGCCACTGCACCTCCCACCCTTCCCTTCTTCAGATGAGCAATCTTCTAACTCCTAATTCCTTCTCCTCCACTGCCACCTGTTCCACCACCAAAAGGCTAAAAACTCAACCCCATCAAGACGGCGGATCACCACCACTACCACCAATCTTTGTTGCCTGGACTTCCAGACCATATAGCCCAACTTTGCCTTTTTCTAGTCCATCCCTCAATTCTTTACTCCGTTTGCCATTCTTGGCGCCGCCTTATATATTCACCATCTTTTCCTCCTTTTCTATCCATTCTCTTTTAATTTCCACACAAAATCAGGCCAACTCCATTGAATTCTCCTCCTTTGATCCCATTTCAAATAAGTGGTGGTCTTTTCCTCCACCGCCGCCTGACCCGCCGCTCGGATTCCTCTTCCGCCACCGCTCGTTCATTTCACGTGAACTTCCTATACAATCTGTTTCTGGCAACTTAGTCCTCCTTGCAGCCACCGCTGACGAATTCCTCCCTGCCCTCTCGCGGCCAATCATTTTCAATCCCTTGTTCCAAAAATGGACCTACGGCCCCCATTATCCACTCCTCGGCGGTTGTGCGCCGCCGGAGCTTCCGGCAATGTCGTATACGTTGCGAGTGGAGTTGGGTCCCACTACAACACCGAGGTAGCTCGATCTTTGAAAAATGGGACCTCGAAAACAATAACAACTGCCATTTGAGCCACAAAAAATTATGGGGTTTTGGAAACGATTGGAGGTGGGAAAGAATGGGAGCACTAAAACATGGAAAATTCAGTCGAGACGCCATCGATGCGATAGGTACGAGTCTTTAGCTCTAGCCCTTATACATATATTATTATTATTTTTTATTAACCGGCATGACAATATGGTGGCTTGTCTCATAATGCCAATCTCCAAATACAATCGCATTTCTCTCATCGAATTGTTATTTCGATCTTTTTTCGAGGATTTCATAATTGGATGCTAATTCCATTTCATATGGGAGTTGTTGGTGCACTAGGTGCTACTTTGCTATGTACTATTCATCGTGTTATCGTAGGTTATACTTTACTACTCGTTTGATCTTTTTTTGTGTGTGCATATATGATAGGATGGAGGGGGAAGCTTTGCATGGTGAACGTAAAGGGCGACGGGACCAAGGAAGGTGCCGTGTACGATGTACAAAGGGACGCATAGGAGGAGATGCCGGAGGGAATGCTGGTGGGGTGGCGGGGTCCGGCGGCGTCGATGGAGGAGGACACCATTTACATGGTGGATGAATCGAAAGGTGCATTGAGAAAATATGATCCTCGGAGGGACAAATGGGTGGCGGTTTTGGAAAGTCAGGTGCTTAAAGGGGCGCCGCAAATGGCGGCGGGTGGTGGTAGAGTGTGTGTAGTTAAAGGGGATGGTGTTGGCATTATGGTGGTGAATGTGGTGGCGCCGCCGCATAGATTTTGGATTGTGGATACTCTGCCGGGGTTACGAGTTGTTACTATAAATATATTGCCAAGATTAAGTCAACCCTCAATACCAGCTATAACTTGTAAGGAATAATTAATGTACATTGTTCTTTCCTTATAATTAATAATTTATTTTTAGTTTTTTCTTTCTAATTATATTCATTTAAGCATATTAAACATGTCATAGATTTATTTATTTTTTAGATAGGATTAGATAAGATTTTTTCGACATATTCTCTTGTCTATAATTTATTCAATTCTCATTTCAATTTTCTCGACCATGAACGTTTACTCATCTTTTATGCAATTCACATAGTCAAACAACATAGAAAATAACTAAAAAGTAAACCTAATGTATCGCACTAGAAATAAATGACCTAGTAGCAAACCCGTCATTGTTGTCAAGATTAAATTGTATATATGTGTATAGACACGCTCGAGTTTACCCTTCTTTCTCTCATCTAGAAAGATTTGTTTAAGAATAATGATGCATAACCGAACGGATATTTTAACTCTTTATGTTGCAATGCATGACAATAAAATATAAATTCAATTAAATTTGAAAATATAATATTATATTTAATCGAACTTTTCAAGTTAGACAAATTGCGCATAACATTACTCTTCGTTTAATATTTGTTGAAAATATCTTCATTTAAAACTATTTCTTATTAAAGCTATGAATTTTTCCAGTGGATTGGAATCATTGGATGAGTGTCGGGATGGATTCTTGGATTGTAACTTTATTTGCAGACAAATCAATGTGTATCTCATTTATTTGTTTAAGAACGAATTTTTTAAATTTGTGGTTTAAATTGGTCAAACTAAACTAATCTAAACTAAACGATACAACACAACACCACATTATGACTGGGATACGATGGAGCCTTCTATGCATTCATGATTCCTTATCCATAAGAAAAAATCTATAAGTACATCAGCAAATACGGAAAGTTTTACCTAGAAAAGTAGAATCCCAAAAATACCATCCTATATAAGAATTTGTAAATAAAGTCACTATAAAAATATAGAAACTTCAATTAGACCCCCAAAAAATTTATAAACCTATAATCTTTGATAGATTTAACTCTAGATATTATTTAAGTGTCCTTTAATTATGAATGAGGAAACCTGAATTCCATAAAATGTGTAAATCATATAAAAGGTTAAGATATAGATTAACTATTA